GGTCAGTACACAAAGAACACTTACCAGGAAAACAGAGCATTCATGCAGGGTATTACTATTCATGAAGCATGGCAGTGAGAGGGAGACTGCCTGCATGCTTGTTCGCATGCGCGTGGTCAGTCTCCGAGCATTTACTCTGCAAGCTGTACTTGTGTTTCTCCTGCTGGGTGCTGAGGCTTCCAGCACTGATGGGCCTGGATAAACTCCCCAGAGCGTTGGACCTGTGCAGTATTTATGAGGCCTGGCTATGTTTAATTCATCCCCACTGATCTCAGGTCTATGCTCAACCTGTGCTCACACATTGTGCTTGTATGCATGATGGGTAGGAACAAGAATACGTACACCTTTAAAAAGAAGCTGTTTCCACTGGCAGTTTCTTCTTCTAGGCCTGCGTTGTTATGTTGACGTGACTGGCACAACATCACTCGAGATGAAGGACGATTTGTTTTTCTTGCAATTTCTGATCCAGTGATGTAGGATGAAAATAAAATCTATTTAAAGTTATAAATCCTTTATAACTTTATAAATCCTGACTGCTATCTTTGCAGATTTGAAGCGTCTCACACACACACGCCCACACTGTTGAGGCCTCTACAGTGCCAGTATTTGGTCATGTTCAGGTGGTGGGGTTTGGCATGGCTCAGAGCCTGTCGCTGTGAATGGAGCCCAGAGCAGCACACAGAGTATTCCAGCTCCACCCTCCAGCCCAGATTGGGCCCTCCTCTCCAGTCCAGGCTATGGTGGAGGCTGGGTGTGCTGGCTTGAGCTGCTGGAGTTGCTGGAGCTCGTGATTGGGACGGAGCCAGCCAGGCAGAGCCAGCGAGTCACACCATCCCTGTGCTGGCAGAGCCTGTCCTCCATCTCATTATAACCTGCAGCTATAGGAAATGATGAGCAACCTGTTCATGTGAGGGGAGGGAGTGTATGTGTGTACGCTTGTGTGTGTATTTGCATCCAAGCATGTGTTTGTTTTTTGTTTTTTTAAAATCAGACTGCTCCCCACTGTAATCATATGTAAATCTTGGCATTTGTCGTCCACTCATTATGCATTTTGTGTGTGTTTGTGTGCGTGTGTGCATGCGTGTGTGTGTGCACATGCGTTTTGGCTTGACCCGACAGTGTGACAGCGGTGAGAGGATGAAGATTGATCACCTAAGAACACCCCAGGGCTTGGATGACTGGCAGAGACAGAGAGAGATAGAAACAGACGAGGGGGGCGGGGGGGGGGGTTATATAGCAAAGAAATATAAGTCAGGAGAGTGGGAGGTGAGAGGGCGGGGGAATGTGGAAAGGAATGGTTTACGGTAGAGGAGGGAGAGATAAAGAAGGAGAGAGAGGGAGAGAAATGAAGAGAGGTGGTGATTGAAGGAGATTGTTTTGGGGAGTGTGTGTGAGAGATAGAAAGGCAGAAGAGGGAGATTGAGGCCCGCAGAACATGGATACATTTACCCGTGTGAGATAAATGACTATAGATGGCTGGTGCCGCTGCGTGTGCGTGTGAATGAGAAACACAGAGACAGAATACATTTCTCTGTGTGAATGTGACCGCATGTGTGTGCTCGTGTGTGTGTGTGCGCACGATTTGTGTGAAAGCATCTGATTTCCAATCGCTCCCTCTGAGCCCCTATGGGTGGCTCATGCCAGGTTCAATCTCCGTAATCTCGGGATATTCCCTCGCACCCCGGCATGCTCCTCTGTGGGCCACAACCCTGGGGGGTGGCGGAATAAGATCACTGAGAGGGATGCGGCATCTCAATTTATCTGGAAGGAGCTGGAAAGGAAGGGGTGGACGTTACTACCGGTTACTTTCAAATGCATTACTGTGGGGACAGATACAAAGATGTTACCTGTTGGAACAACAACCGGTGAAGAAGAAGGAGGAGAGGCAGTATATCTGTTCCTAAATGATATATTGTAGGCACTACTGTAACAGGCACAGCTGTGTAACATCAGGTTTATTAATGACATGACCTCGTATTCATACATTAAAGCTACAAACTCAGTAATTTTTTAATGTTATTTAACAAAAACAAAAATGTTGTACTTCTAAATATACATTGATTAGTGTGTAATTACATCGTCCAACAAAATGACACATTCTCATACATAATCCATTAAAAATACATAGGAGCATGCACCAGTTTGCTATTCCCCCAACATATTTGTTGGTCTTCCTCTTCACCTCAATGACAAGAACATATGTATAACATACTCATTAATTTCCAATATTGTCACAGTTACTTATTGTCAGCAGATTAGACAAACGACCATCTCCAGACAAAAGTCTGCT